GGGGGGGGCATCTGAGCGCCGGGCACGGGGGGTATCCGGGCACCGGGAATGGGGGATATCCAGGTGCTGGGCACGGTGGGGGGAACCGGGTGCCGGGCACAGGGGGTCTCCAGGTGTTGGGAATGAGGGATATCTGCGTGCTGGGAATGGGGGGGATATCTGGGCGCCAGGCACAGGGGGTCTCCAGGCCCCGGGAATGGGGTGTCTCCAGGCCCTGGGCACGGGGGTTATCCGGGCACCAGGAATGGGGGATATCCAGGCGCTAGGCACAGCGGGGGGAACCGGGTGCTGGGCACAGGGGGAGGATCCGGGCAACGGGAACGGGGGGTCTCCAGGTGTTGGGAATGAGGGATATCCGGGYGCTGGGAATGGGRGGATATCTGGGCGCCGGGAATGGGGGTCTCCAGGCCCCAGGAATGGGGGTGTCTCCAGGCCCCGGGAATGGGGGGATATCTGGGCGCCAGGCACAGGGGGTCTCCAGGCCCCGGGAATGGGGGGTCTCCAGGCCTCGGGAATGGGGGGTCTCCAGGCCCCGGGAATGGGGGTGTCTCCAGGCCCCGGGAATGGGGGTGTCTCCAGGCCCCGGGAATGGGGGGTCTCCGGGTGCCGGGCACGGGGGTTTCGGTCCCGACCCCCATGAGGCGGTCGTGCTGGGCCGGGTCGAAGTCGCCGCGGAGCAGGCGCTCCGAGAAGCCGGCGCCGCCGCTCGCCTGGCGCAGCCGCGCCAGCCGGGCCGCGATCTCCTCCCGCTTGAGGTTCTTCAGCTGCTTCAGCTCCTCGCGCTTCCGGGCCTTTTCCTGGGCACGGCCACCGGGAAGCGTCAGGGATGGGCAGGGGGCCGAGCCGAGCCCCCTCTCCCGCCCCTCACCTTCCTCTTCCTCTCGCGGATCTGCTCCCGCTTCTCCTTGCGGCGCTCGTCGCGGCGCCGCACGGAGCTGGCGACGCTGCGCGGGTAGGTCTGCACCTGGGGGGGGGGGACACACAAATTGGGGGTGTCACACGCTGGGGGGGGCTTTGGGACCCCGCGGCGCCCCCCCGGCGCCACCTGCTCGGAGCCGGGCTCCTCGAAGCGGAAGTTGTAGCGATGCTCGAAGGCCTCCTGCGCCGCCAGGAAGCGCTCGCCCTCGTCCGCAGAGTCCGGAGCGGCCCTGCGGGACGGCGGGAATGGGGATGCGGAGCAGGGGGACAGCGGGAATGGGGATGCGGAGCAGGGGGATGGCGGGAGTGGGGATGCGGAGCAGGGGGACGGCGGGAATGGGGACACAGAGCAGGGGGATGGCGGGAATGGGGACACAGAGCAGGGGGATGGCGGGAATGGGGACACAGAGCAGGGGGACAGCCCGGCGGGATGGCGGGAATGGGGATACGGAGCAGGGGGATGGCGGGAATGGGGATATGGAGCAGGGGGATGGCGAGAGTGGGGACACAGAGCAGGGGGACAGCCCGGCGGGATGGCGGGAATGGAGATGCGGAGCAGAGGGATGGTGGGAATGGGGATATGGAGCAGGAGGACAGCCTGGCGGGATGGCAGGAATGGGGATACGGAGCAGGGGGACATCCTGGCAGGAATGGGGACACGGAGCAGGGGGACAACGGGAATGAGGATACGGAGCAGGGGGACATCCCGGCAGGAATGGGGACACAGAGCAGGGGGACATCCTGGCGGGAATGGGGACACGGAGCAGGGGGACAACGGGAATGAGGATACGGAGCAGGGGGACATCCCGGCAGGAATGGGGACACGGAGCAGGGGGGACAGCCCGGCGGGGGGGGGTCCCCCCACTCACCCCCCCTCGCCGCCGTCTTCCTCCTCGTCCTCATCCTCGTCCTCCTCGCTGCGGTAGCCCTGGCTCAGGACGTAATCCCGCAGGAAGCGCTCGCCGGGCTCCAGCGCCGGGTCGGTCCAGAACCGCTGGAGCGGCACCTTGCGCGGGAAAGGGGAGGGGGGCACACGCAGGGAACGGGTCAGAACCCGAGCCATCGGCGTCACGAGCTGCGGCCCGGCCTCAGCCCCGCTCACCAGGTCCCGCAGCGGCTCCTCGGGCAGCTCCCGCTGCCCCTTCAGCCACTGGATGTAGTCGGCCTCATCCCGCGCCTGCCGGGACAGGGATGGGCAGGGGGGGTCACCAGCAGCCCCCCCACGGCCACGTCCCCCCCCGGCGCCCCCTCACCGTCTCCTCCGCCGTGCGGCTGCGGCGCCGCAGCAGGGACGAGGAGCCTTCGGCCTCCTCCTCCTCATCGCTGTCGGCCACCAAGGCCCGGAAGCTGCCGGGGGGGAGGAAGGAAGGTGAAGCCCCCCCCTTCCACATGGGAAAGGGCCCGGGCGTCCTGCCCCCCCCCCAACATTCCCACCTCTCCTTGAGCTCCCGCTGCTCCTCCGCGTAGCTCTTGGATGCGGCTCTCTGCGGGGGGACACGGGGGTCAGGGATGTGCGGGGGGGGGCAGCAGCGACGCCCCCTCCCCTCCCCGCACGGACCTTCCTCCGCGCGGCCGCCGCTTCCTCATCCTCGTCCTCCTCATCCACGTACTTGCTGCGGGGAGAGCGGCGGCTCCGGGCGGGATCCGTCCCGCCGGGATCCCGCGGGAATCCCGCTCCCGGTCCTCCTTACCCCTCCTTCTCCAGCATCACCTTCCGCTCGTAATCCTTGAGGAACATGGGCCGCTCCGGCCGCGCCGGCCGCTCCGCCTCGCTCTCCGACGAGGAGCCTGGGGACGGGGCGGGATCAGGGGGGTCCCGGCAGATCCCGGGGGGGGACCCGGTTCCATGGGGGGGTCCCGGTACCGGGGGGGCTGTAGAAGGTGGCGTCCGGCTGGTAGATCCGGGGGTCCCGCGTCTTGAGCAGCGCCAGCGTCCGGTAGAAATCCCGCTCCAGCCGCGGATCCGGG